CATTCAACAAAGAAACTGTCCGTAGCTTAATCTGCAGTTTACTCTGTTTCAGACCTACGCCGATATTTCCGTTTTGCAGGTGAATATGTATTTTGTGGAAAATGTGCTAATTGTTGTTATGCACTTTTTTTTCTACTTTACTGACTAAATACATGTTTATCACCATTTAATTATAACTGTATGACAACTCTGATTACATTTAGAGTGACCCTATGTCAACTAATATGTTACTCTGCTAAATCGTAATTGAAACCATCCTGTTAAATAGTTGAGGCTTGCCGGTTTAATTAAGCTGACAACATCTTGTCACTTTCTACGAATAGTAACTACAGCAATGTCTTTTAAAAGTCCATCCACGTGGATGCAAAACGATTAAAAGCGATAAAGCTTCCTTATAGGATATGAGATCTTCAGATGAATCATTTTATGCTTAAGACGATTTATTGATATTACTGCCATTAACAATCACGAATAATTAATTGCTAAGTTAGATTAAATTAAATTAAATAAAATTAATTCTTGTCGAAAAATTGTCCAAGGCGTAATGTGATGATATGACGGTTTAAAGTGCCACAAAAAAACGTAAATCGAGTTATTTTTTACTGACCACGTGTTTTAACTTTAATTAATTAATTAATTAATTTAGGAGATTCTATGGTCGTTCCTAGTGGGGTTGATCGTGTTATAGCACAGAACTAAGACCACTTGAGCTAATTTAAGTCAAGTATAAATTGGTAATTGTTTATTCGGTACCGTTTTTGAGGTGTAAGTCTATATGAATAACTAATGGTACACTGACTTGCTCACTTATGAGCACATAATGTACGGTTATTCGATGTCATAGCCTGCTTTGCATCCCTCGAAAGTGTACAGCTCCTATTATTCTCCATATTATAATTAAACTGTTTACTTGAAAAAATTAGTGAAGCTTCCGCTGCTTTCAGTTGTTATTATGAACAGTAACAATCAGTGGCTCAGTTGTTGTGATCTACATATTCAATAACATTAACATTCACTCTTTTATCTAATTATTTACAATATTCTGCACATTTATTTAATGAATACTAGTACTAGTGTCGATACTAGTACTAGTACTAGCTGTTTGTTCTTTTGTTGTTCCATTTAACAATACAATCTACGCACCATTTAAAACTGCTTGAAGACAAATGTCTTTGCGAATGTATGTGCTAGGTCATCCGGCCTTGTGTGC